GACAGTCGATGATTACGATTGTCATAAAGCGATGCTTCGTTTTATCGTTCCCGGCAATGCATTTTATTGGATTCGATGACAAAGCATCGTTAAATATCAACATAGTTGTAATATAAATATTAAATATGTGACAAGATTTTTGGTTCGAGAATTGCTATCGATAAATTAATCACTTGCAAACAGATGTTGACAAACATGCAGCATCGACATTTTGCTGCTTGTATTTATAAAAAAAAATTTAAAATAAATCCTCGTCCGCAATGTGGTAAAAAAGTCAGTATAACACGGATGTGAACTTCCATGTTCCAAATTTAAATAAATATTTACATGAGACTTATAGAATCTACTGTTTCCACATGCTACAAGAAATATTCGAATCTGATTTTCAAATGTTTAACATTTTCTTTTTATTATACCCTAATCATTTCACTCTTTCGTTCTGTGTTTGTGACTATGTAGTAGATATTAATGTGACAAAGAGAGATATACTATAATACATAGTTCGTCAGAACTTTTCGACTCTACTGCGCAAAAACGAAAACTTGAAAATGTCTGCAGAACTGTAAAAATAATTATGATGTGAATATTTTTTCAAAAACTATGACTACTACGGTGTAATCGTATGTAAATAAATAATTATAATATTTTACAATTCTAGACACGGTAATATCAGAAGTTTTCTCTACCTAGGTCTAATAAGACTAATCTATTTAAAGGCATAAATAATTGTTGTTTATTCGTGTAAACTTCGAATAATCTGTTCTACACGTTCTACAGAACGCTTCCTTAATATTTTCATGTAACAATTTCATACATGTCTTGGTTAACTGTATTGTATTGAAGCACACTTGGATCACTAAAGAATAAATACACGTCAATTTTTAAAGTATGATATGCGTATTCACATATTTTATCGGGCGTAATAAAAGCACATTAGTATTTATAAGGAATGGTGCATACAAACACCATTATACATAGTCTATTTAGAAAGAATTACTAGATATGTGAAACTTTTTAATTTTTGTTACATATATAAAAAATTAAATTCATTAAATCATAGTTTGAATCAACTGTTTAACATAAAATTTTGTTAATACTCAAAATTTGTAACGTTTTCAAACGTATGCAGTTCTAACGTTCTAATACATTCAAACGTTTGTAATAATAGCAGATTGCTCAAATGTTACGCAGAACATTAGGGTATCACACCAATGTTACTTTCAGACCACAAATAAAACACATCTATGTCGATAACTTCAATAGTTTCGTAGAAAATGATATAAAACAAAGTCAGTGAAATGTATACTCACATGCATCTGTAATCTGTATACATATACAACCCATATGCACGTATGCATGTTATATCGGTAAAGATAAGAACATAAGAGCAAATACGATATGACTGTTGGGTGAAATGATTCACTGATTATTTTTGTTACTTTGTTGTTAAGCCATTGTATGGCCGACTGAATGAAGAACTAAAGAAGAATGAATTCATTTAAGTAGTAACCCAGTCAGCCAAACTCGTAAAGCCAAATATTGCCCAATGCCTGTATGATAAGGTTATGGCTACAAATTTGATGCAAGATTTGCTTATAAACAATTTCCGCGCACATTGGCAGCAACATAGGCAGCAAATTGGCTCGCACAGACTCTGTTCCGTTTTTGCACCCAATTTGACACATGTTATGTTGCAAGACTTGCTGCCAATTTACTTTACCATTTTGTCAGCAGGCCTGCAAAACCCAAGCCAAATGCGGAAACAGATGGCTATGGTTTTTTAGACAACTTTTGTGATTATTTGCTGGCAATTTGCTCGAAACGTGTATACACTTGATTATCAGGGAAATAACAGTCTACTAATTAGTTAAATAAAGATAGTAAATAAAATTACTTTCAATTAACAGCATGTAACTACAGAAATTGATTTTTTGAGACGATTTCTTTACTGATATTGATGTTTTTCAAAATAATAATTGAAAAAACAGTCTGTTCTTAGAATAAATGTTTTCACTTACCACATGACAGTGATACATGTTAACATTAAATAGGAAAAGTACTTGTCTACTAAATAGTTCAGAAATGCATTAGTTACCCGAAAGTAAATAAAGCACAATATTTTATGAACAGTAAATTCGAATCAAATTTCAACTACTATTCAATCAAACAACAATAGAAAGTGTTTTCCTTCTAGCTTCTATATGTATAACGTTTTCATATTCCATTCGTTCAGTATTACATTATCAGTACAAAGGCAGGCGAAGACGGCCAAATCTGCACGTATAAAATGTTGATTGTAAATCCATGACATTAATGAGATAGTAATTTCGTTCACAGCTTTTATATAGTTTGAACTTCTGTCTATGTAACTGCCAATTATTTTAATTTATAAACAAATTTTTAGCAAAAAAGCGTTTTAAAAATGAAGTTAAAATATAAATTATAATATATATTTTATATATATACATGCGCATAAAATCTTGAAAGAACTTATTAATTTTCTAATGTTGCTGCATAGTTGAATATAGATTTCACGAAGATTATGATTCCCTAATGTTTGTATTGTGATAAAATCACAGAACCTTTTTTCCAACTAGTCAATAATACCGAGAAATTTGAAATAGACATCATAGTTTGGTTTCCATAACCTTTCTATACATGAATGTAAATAAACCTTCCATTTCATTAGGTCTGCTAGAAAATATAAATATTAGAACTGTTCAAATAAATAAAATGTTTCTTTCATTCATAAAAGTATTCAACAATGGGTAATATCGACGAATTTTTAGTGGGAAAGAATGTTTGTTAATTCATTTCCTATCTTTTTAAAAGTTTTATATAAATTTCTGACAATTATTGAGATAAATGTGTTAATTATAATAATGTAATAATAAATTGTTACAAGCAATTGTGCATATTATGAAGATTTTTGTTAATCTGAAAATCATTGAAACTTGTCTTATTATCATGTGCGTAGTCAGGTTAGGTATCATTCGGGGGGAATAATGTAATTTCTTTCCTCCGGGAAGGAGCGGAGGCAAAATCCAATTTTTTTTTCTTCTAAAGTAGTGCGAAACTAACTTTCTTTCCGCCTAGAGGGGGCGGGGGGGGGGGCAAAGGCATTATATAGGCATTATTATACATAAAATTATAATCTTCAAATTAAATTTTAAATAGCTACCAATATATCACAGACTGTCAGTTTCGATTTCCTTTATTTTTAAATAATCTTATTTTTCAAACTAATATATGTATTGATCGACATAGAATCTATCTACATGGTTTTATTATATTCTAATTATGTTTGCAATTGAATTTCTCGACAAAAATTCAGATATCTTGATTCGATCTCGTCAGATTGCAAGACATTATACAACAGTGATCATTTTAATTATCACTGATACCTCCAGGGTAATTCATTTTTTTTATACTTCAAACGGGCCTTGACGGTGATTATAGTACATTTGTTGTAAATCATCTGTTTTGAATAAAAAATAATAACTTGTTGAGTATCCTGTGCATCATCACATTAAATAACGTTTTGTTTAAACAAATAATCCAGGCTTAAAACTATTGTTCTACCGTTACAATTACACAGAAATGTATCTAAATAAAGCAGAGAAAGAATCGCCTTTCTTAGAAACATACAATTTTATGCTCGTGTGAATGTGCTCTCTGTACCTAAGAAGAAAAAGAATAAAATTTTATGCCTGATATAAAGAATTCTGTACAATTTTATGTTTTAATAGTACATTCAGTAGGTATAAATTAAATATTAGTCAATACACTAACAACGTGCATAAAGTAGTAATGAATAAAAATTTTAACCACGATAATGAAAATAAGTACAAATTATTTTTTAAAGTATTGTTATGATGGTCTACAATAAATATTTTTAAAAAATTTCATAGCTAATTATTAACGGCAACTTATTGAATGAATTATTTCAAGGTCTATAAAAATCCGCGAAAATGAGAATTGTAAATTATTTTTTAAATTATTGTTATTGCTGTTTAAATTAAACATTTGACAAATATTTCATGACTAATTATTTTGACAATGAATGGAATGAACTGTTACAAGTTTTATAAAAGTCTTCGAAAGTAATTATTCCGACTGTTCCTAAACGTCTATTATGATGACAGATCAGGCAGAGAACTTGACCTTGGTCTTTCATCTGAAGCAATGTTTTCAGGTTCCGTATAGTTGTACCGAAAGTGACAGGATGAACACGTTTTCGTAAAACATATTTGTGAAAAACTTTCATGTCAGGTAATACAATGAAAAGGATGAGTAAAAAGAAATCTAATACATTAAGTTGTTGTACATAAAGTGATGAATTGTTCTTTACACTGTTAATTAAAAAACCAACCATTTATTTCAGTCATCGATAGTAATGTCTAAATGTAGTGTGCATTGCATTCAGTAAATTATTTATTATCCAGCGCATTTGCAAAATACCGATAATTGTTCGTCTTAATTTGGACCGCAGTTTCGATCACACGTATGTACATATTCCTTTTTTCTCCGTTAAAGTTGTATGTCCTTCAAACAACGCACCTTATATTCATCACATTTTATTGTGCATATGAATTTAAATAATTTCGCGGAGACAAAAGAATAATACTTTCTCCGCTTTTTTTAAATACATGTATTTTCTTAATAAAATGTGTAAGCAATCTCTGTATTCAAATGACTTTCATTCAAAATTAAATTTTTTAAATCTCTTTTCCTACGTTCACAAAGTGATTGTTATTTTGTTTCTAAAACACTCATGAAATATGACGTTATTATCCTGTATGTTATCATATCAGTTTCTCAAAACAATTAAAATTTAATTTATGTAACAAATTTTCATGCGGCGTAAGCATGTCGAAGAAGGTACGAGTTCTACAAATCTTTAATACGGTGCTGTAAATAATGGCGACAGTATGCAACACGCATGCGTTCTCCGCCAAAACTCGATAGCTGATTCGCGAGAATTCGTTGAATAAGTTGGCTACCCTGTAAGCCTTTGTTCGCAGTGGGGACGGTTAAATTCGTCAGCATTTCTCTTCGAGCCGGTCTTCATTGTGTATCAGCTCACGACTATCAGCGAGGAGTAACGCACAGATTCATCTGGCCAAATCAACCAGATTATCTCTCTTGATACTCTTTTATCAATAATTGAAACGTAAGTACTACTAGAAGTAGCTTTACATTCTGTCAATATCATCATTCGGCCATATTTGTCAGTGAACGCAATGCTTTATTTTACCGATGTGCACGTGTATACCTATTACGCGTTAAACAATTGCGAGTACTCTACTAATACTAAATGTCATTTGTTTATATTTAAGAGGAATGTTTTAAACGCCTCAGGGATTATTGTTATATCCAAAACTAATCATTGGCACTATTCGAATGTCAACTTTTTATATTAAAATGCTCAAGAAATAGTCTCCAAATACTGCTAGGTCAAAGAAAAAAACGGTAGCAAAGTTGTTTTGCTGGATAGCTTCCTTTTTTGCTGAATCTCGGAAATCCGATTGACGCTTATGTAAACGTACTTAAGATATGTCGAACTGTTTGTATTGATTTCTTACCGTATTTTCAAGAACTACGTTTCCCTAAATATTATCAAGCAAAAAATTACTTAATAATAAATTTTGTAGTAACATGCGTGGAATAATTTGAAACACATTTAATGTTTTTTCAACTTTTTGCATTTAACAATATACACTAATAAAGTTCAGGACGCATATATAATATTTAATTATTTACTTTCAATTTTATTAATTGATAAATTAATTATTTTCAATTTTATACGTACAATTTATTGTAAAATTTTGGCAGGTGATAATGGACGATGAGTGGGGACAAGAAAGCGTTCAAGTTTGTTCTTCAAATTCAGAGAATGTTAGTAAACACATTGATTTTGTTACAACAATTGGATAATTGTGATCGATATTTAAACTTGCTGTTTGTTGCTTTTAAAATTAGGTCGATGATGGTGGACGTAGCTATGGAAAAGGACGTGGTTTTATAGTACGAAATAATAACAATGATACCTGGGTAGCAGGAAAGAATGACAATAATTGGCCATATGACAATAATAGCAATGATTTTTGGCAATCTGGTAGAGGCGGAAGTAGAGGAGGAGGTAGAGGAGGAGGTAGAGGAGGTAGAGGTGGTGATAGAGGAGGTGGTTTTAGAGGAAGAGGAGGTAGAGGTGGAGGTTTCAGAGACAAAAACAGAGATGACGATGATGGCGGCAGTGGGTACAGAGGAAATGATGACTATGGGGATGGTGATAATGATGAACAACATGACAGAGGTAATAGGCCTAGGGGAAAGTTTAATGGCTTCAGTGATAACAATGACAAAGAAGAACCTGAGAAACCTCGAGAAGTGTACATTCCACCAGAATTGCCTACCGATGAAAATTCCTTGTTTGAAAATGGTGTCTCCATGGGAATTAATTTTGACAAATATGATAATATTGAAGTTAAAGTAAGTGGAGAAAATACACCTGAACCAATAGAGAGCTTTGAAACCACTAGCCTTAGAAGTATTGTGTTAGAGAATATTAAAAGATCAGGATACACAAAACCAACTCCTGTCCAAAAACATGCTTTACCAATTATAATGAATGGCCGTGATTTAATGGCTTGCGCACAAACAGGTTCCGGAAAAACTGCTGCATTTGCAATTCCCATTATCAATACTTTATTGGAGAAGCCTACAGATTTAGTTATAACTTCGTCATATTGTGAGCCACAAGTTATTATTGTATCGCCTACTCGTGAACTAACTATACAAATTTGGCAACAGATTGTTAAATTTTCTTTACATTCCATTCTGAAGACTGTAGTTGCATATGGTGGAACATCCGTAATGCATCAAGGGGGAAAACTTTCTGCAGGTTGTCACATTCTTGTGGCAACACCTGGAAGATTATTAGACTTTCTAGACAGAGGAAGGATTAAATTCTCTTCTGTCCGATTTCTTGTATTGGATGAAGCAGATCGTATGTTGGATATGGGATTCCTACCTAGCATTGAGAGGATTGTAGACCATGATTCAATGGTTCCATTGAGCGAAAGACAGACATTAATGTTCTCTGCTACTTTCCCAGATGAAGTGCAAATGTTGGCAAAGAGATTCTTAAACAATTACCTATTTCTTGCAGTTGGTATTGTAGGTGGAGCATGTTCAGATGTTGAACAAAATTTTTATGAAGTCGAAAAAAGGAAGAAAAGAGAGATGCTTAAAGAAATCTTGGAAAGAGAAAATGATGCAGGTACATTAAAAGGTACCTTAGTATTCGTGGAGATGAAAAAGAGGGCAGATTTTATAGCAGTATTTTTGTCTGAAATTAATTATCCCACCACAAGTATTCACGGTGACAGATTACAAAGGCAAAGAGAAGAAGCATTAGCTGATTTCAAAAGTGGAAAAATGTTGATCCTAGTAGCTACAGCAGTTGCTGCTAGGGGTTTAGATATTAAAAATGTTTCTCATGTTATAAATTACGATTTGCCAAAGGGAATCGATGAATACGTTCATCGAATTGGAAGAACTGGCCGTGTAGGCAATCGTGGTAGAGCTACGTCATTTTTCGACTCTGAAGAGGATGGACCTCTACGAGATGATCTTGTCAGAATATTGAAACAGGCAAGTCAACCTGTTCCAGATTGGCTAGTATGTGGAAATTCAAGTAGAAGCTTTATGCCTGGAAGAGGAAACAGATTTGGAGGACAAGATATAAGAGGGGTAAGTTAAATTTTAATAATGCCAAATTGCAAACTAAAATTGTAATGAGTGGGTGCTACATGTGTACTTTTTCTTTCCTATAGTTTGAAGCAGGTGGAGAACAATACGGTGAAGAAGCCTATATGCCTTCTGTACCAGTTGAACCAGAGGAACCGTGGTAAAAATTGTTGTTTTAACCTATGTATTTCTGTCATAATTTCATCAGAAAGAGGATATTATAATGCTCCTTCATTCATTTACTACGCCAGAGGTACAAAATTACTATAATCCCGTATATTTACGTCTATGTTATTAATGTACGATGATAATATTTTTCAGTTAAGTTTCAATTTTGTTTTTACTTTTTTTCGACAATGGTCAGTGATGTATTTAAAATAAAACATGTATACCTCTTTAGAAGTCGGTTAAGTACAAAATAACGGAATGTTACCTTCGTTGTTGATGCGACGTACACAACTAAGAACTAATATATAATTTACGAAGATACGTATCTCTTGTACCTCTCGATATAGTTTATGGTACTTCTCCATCGATCGTACAAATGTTAGCTTTTAAGAGCAAATTATATGGAGATCAAATCCTATAAAGCGTACTTTATTTTATAAAATGATACTCTCTAATATTATGTTAAGTGTTTTTTTATACGTTCCTTTTTGTAATAAAATATTAATGAAAAGTAAAAGTATTTATTTTTCAACATTTTCATGATTGTATTATTCTGGATTAGTTAATTAGACTCTTATGAAATTTTGTCTAAGAATAAGAAAGAAAATTTTGTACATACCATCATTCATGGCCATGTCCATCAGATGTAAATCTTCGTCGTTAAGGAGAGATGAGAGAAAACCATCGGTGGTCTGGTTAATCGAGTCTGCTGTTGTTGTATGATAGTACATCATTTCGGCCGGTTCGGATTTATATGCTGCACCACTTTCTGCACCAATCGGTTCGCTACTGTTTGTCAAATTCATTGATGTTGCCACCGCTGAACCCAGGTTTGACGATCCACCTGTGGCAGTGAGTATTTTAGTTCTAAAAGATTAGATAGTAAACAGAATTTCTTTAGTTGTAAATCTTGTATCATTTGTTATTTCGATGTTTATGCACTATAAAGTGTTACGAAACAAAATACGAGACAATGCATAGTTAAGACAAGTTACAAAATCGCAGTATTATATATATGCATATAATATATGTATATCACCATTTAACAATTTATTTTATGCATTAGAGAAAAGATTACAGTGAAAATTGCATACTCTTACAAGGGAAGTTCGTTAACCCGAAAATTCCGATTTTTTTAAACTTTGCAGGTTTGTAAGGGACCTCAGGAGAAGTATAGCGCTATTTTTGTTTTTGACCCAATTTCAGTTCTTCAGGGTGAAAACATCCCTTGAAGGTAGATAGGTGTTTCCATATTTCCCTGTATATCTTTAAAACTAACGTAGATATAAAAAAATGGTTATAATAAAAATCGAATGGTTTTTTATGCCCTATAAAACGATGCAATTAAATTCATAAAAATTCTTTGTTTAAATAAAAACATCCCCCCCACTTTTATTAATTATCAATTTAATTGCATCGTTTTATAGAGCATAAAAAACCATTCAATTTTTATTACAACCATTGTTGTATATCTACGATAGTTTTAAAGATATACAAGGAAATATGGAAACACCTATCTACCTTCAAGGGACGTTTTCACTCTGAAGAACTGAAATTGGGCCAAAAACAAAAATTGTGCTATACTTCTCTTGAGGTTCCCTACAAACCTGCAAAGTTTAAAAAAAATCGGAATTTTCGATCTGGTTAGTCATTTTTATATTTTTTTTTACAAATCTATCGCCACAACTTCGCAATATAAATTTCTATTAAGATTACTTTATATGACTCAATTTGAAAGTTACTACACTAATCTGAATTTGTTGTATTATTAATCGCGTTGGCAAATATTTTGAACAAATTTAATAGCTTATCATCAATATTTATTCATTGATGGTTAATACCAGGCTCGGATCAAAGGGGGGGGGGGCTATAGAAAATAATTGAATGAATTTTTGTATATTGTTTCCTTTTTGAAATAATTAGAAAATTTATTTAATGATTCATAAGTTAATAGCAGAATTAAAAAGCGAAATGAAGCTTATACTCACATCATTGATTTATTAGGATTTATATGCAACTTACTGACCATAAACAGAGATGAAAATTTACTCGAAAGATGTACAGGATAGTTTTGTTTGTGAATTAGAGCAATTCACTGCATTATTAAAATTACAACCTGAAGGTTTTTTTCTAGTTGCATGAAAATTCAAGATCAAAAAGACAACTCACTGACTCCTTTGTAGGTGTTGAATTGGATAGTACATAGATGGACAATTAATTGATGTTTTACCAAATGTATATATTGCATACAGATTATTTCTAACTACTCCCATTGCAAATTGTGTTTAGAGCGCAATATGTTTAGAGAGTAATATGCTTGGATCGACTATACATATATGTTAAATGATCGGTTATCATGCGTAACACGTTTAGCAATTGAAGCTGAATTATTAAGATTTATCGATTTTAAAGATTTAATAAAAGATTTTGTAAAATTAAAATCAAGAAAAAAAAATTTTAATTAAAAGTCTTTAACCAATATCTTTTCGGCGTTTGTCTTATATGTAACATTATTTATTTGTAAGTCATTATTACTTAGAAATATTTAACTCAATTTAATTTTAATTTATTGAGAATAAATTTCAGGTTTTGAGGAATTATGTATTCTATTGTATGTTTTATTACCACCCCCCCCCCTTTTCTACCGAGGGGGCCTCTTAAGGTTTGATAGCCCCGGGCCTCAAAAATTCTTAATCCTGTCCTGGTTAATATCATAATTTTTATCATACAAGTTTGCACAGTTCTGTTGCAATAATGTAGACGAAGATATTTATGATAATTTTCCTTGAAGTTATTTAACATAATACTTTTTTCATTTACACAAATCATATTTTAAATACATTATTGTAGTATGCTGAAAAGATATTTTGGACAATAATAAAATTTGAATTTTTATGCAATGAAGTCTTGAGAATTTTAATTCTTTAATTAATAGCAACGAGACAGAAAGTCATAACGATGTTTCCAAAATTGCCCACTGCTTGTATCATATATTTTGATTGTAGGTACAAATAAATATATTTTTGCTTCAGACATTACATTTCATTTTTGTAATAAATGGAAAACTGCGACTGTAAAATACAAAGTTTAGCAACATTGTTTATTTATAGCGTAAATTTAGTGCTTGTGCCGGCAATTATGAAAATGATTTAATTTATACACCATTTTTTTGTTCTGAATTATTTCGATTTTTACGTTTCACGCACGAATTGAATCTAATTTAAGAATTAACTACTCAGTTTCATTTTCAGCTATATTTTACAAATTTTTAATGTAACGCAAATTGGTGAATTCTACTACTCCAGATGTATGGCTTAGATCATTTTCATAATTACTAACATATTCGTTTTAGGTCTTTTTTACCCATCTACACAAAATAGTGTTTCAGTACTCACCCACATTATGATAGGGACTCGTGGAATTAAGATCGCCCACGGGTGGAGCCAGAGTGGCATTATGAAGCAATACATTACGTTGAGCTTCATAATGACTGTGACTTATACCGTGCCCTGGGTATCCAGGGTGTGCAGGATGTGCAAAGTGGTCTGGTGCACCAGGTAGCGATAAAAGGGATGCCAAGTCTTGCCACCGTTGTTCCATGCTCATTGCACGCACGAATGGCATGCGACCCTGAAATAAACAAAGTATTGGTTAAAAAATATCAATTGTTCTTCATTTATCATTAAGCTTTTTTTATTATTTAGTACAATTTCTAAAACAATAATTTTCTTTCTGCGAAAATGCGTGAATTGTCTATCTATATTTTCTGTTACAGGTAGTGATATAGTTTTAGGTCGATCAGCCGCAGCGAATATGTATATCCGTTCTTCTTGATTAATCCGACTACAATCTTTGGGTCCCTTTCAATCTAACGGCATCCTCATTTCGTCAAATATAACCTTATGTTTGGGAAAAGCATAATGAAGTTGTGTTTAGTCTTTATATATTTTCCTTCTCGTCGTTATTCAAAATATATTAATAAACTGAGGGCCGTATCAAGGTTAAGGATTAATTGTATCTTTCTGATATGATGACGAATGATGATGCTTACCGCTGAAAGAAGTTGAAACGAAGATAGTTTTCAATTGAACAGAATCTGGGACTGATAAAGTATAATACAAATTAAGTACTAAAAATTGTCTGAATAACTTTATGTTTGGTCTCATTTTCATCGGGAAAAAACAATCAATACGCTGCATGATATAACCATCCTAAAATTGTCAATCCTTATATATTGTGGTTAAAATAAAAATAAACCATTTTTTTTGCTAGGGAATATAATCAATCCTTTTCTGGAGAATCATTATTTCTCAACACGAATTCAGACATGGTTTGATTTTATTTTAACCATCATACAGAATAATTGAAATTTTAGGGTGATTTTATAGTTATGCCACGCAGTGTATGTTAGGAATACTTACACGAAGATAAAATGGAAAAGTTTTATTTGTCATTGGTAGTACCCTACACGCTCACTTTGTTCATTCAGCTAAAGCCAAGGGGTCTTCATTTCATAGAGTTCGTGGAGGTATTCGGCTAGAAATAAGGGGATTTAAAGGCTGAACGAACAAGAAAACATCACTCTATTATCATGGGACCATATCTCATATCTACCAAACGACACGTCCGATGAATCCCGTAGCTATCAAACCTGTCAAATGTATACTGTTGGATGTTTGGGTTTTAAAGAGGTAGAAACCCTGCTGGTTGCATAGGCGTTGGTCACACGTAAATGCCACCGTGATATTAACGACTTTGGTACCACGTGTCAAAAGTATCTTCTGACGTGAATAAGGATACACACCGATTATGATCAAATGTCAGGTTTCGAATGAAATTACGGAAGTTGCGATTAAAAAGAATTTTCATTCAAAAACGATCACGTTGATATAATACGATAAACTGTTCTGTGGTAATAGTATGGTATGGTAAATGTTAAGATTTTCAATGTTTGCAGCTCTTAAAAATCTTCAACAAGGGAAACCGAGGAAAAGTTGGAGAAAGTTGATTGGAACAAAAATTTGAATAGATTAAATTTCTTGATTTGTTCTCCGAACGTATTAAGTAACTATTATTTTATCTGCATATAGAAAAAATTGATATTAATTTGTGTTTTTGATACTAATTGTCGAACTATTGTGCATACATATAATATGTACAAGGGTATTATTGAAGACTTGAAAAGTTAAGGCATCTAGAACTGAAGTAAAATTTAGAAAGCATTTAAAACCTTGTTCTGGTTTTGCCCTCAATTTGATATAGGTTATGTTACAAGACTTTCTGCCAATTTGCTGCCGACGTGCGCGCAAGTTGTTTATAGCAAATCTTGCATAAAACTTCTAGCCATAACTTTATACATAACAGGCATTGGACAAAATTTGGCTTTGCAGGTTTGGCTGACTGGGATTATAATATTAATAAATAATTATCCCATTATTCCAGCGGTATCATAGTTAATTTTTGATTGCGCCAAAAAAAAGTTTTTGGGTACATATGTTCATTTGGGAGTACGTATTAGGGACGATTTTACCAACCCAGTCAGCGAAATTTGCAAAGCCAAATATTGTCCAATGCCTGTTATAAAGTTATGGTTACAAGTTTGGTGCAAGATTTGCTTATAAACAATTTCTGCGCACATTGGGAGTAACGTAGGCAACAAATCGGCTTGTGCAAACCTTGTTCTGGTTTTGCCCTCAATTTGACATAGGTTATGTTGCAAGACTTTCTGCCAATTTGCTTTACCATTTTGTCAGCCAAGGTCAAATGCGGAAAGAGATAACTATGGATTTTAGACAACTTTTATCATTTATTGCTCGCAATTTACTCGAATCTTGTACTGGTTATCAGGGAAGTTTCACAGAAATCGAAAGGTGAACCTTATCGGAACTACAGCCAGTTCTAATATTAATAACTACAAACGAATTGACAAAAAGCGTCATATTTGGTCAGTGTTAATCGGTTAGAATTTTTATTTCTAGAGGCAATTTTACATTTTTCATCGTGGATAGAAATAATTTAGAACATAAAAAAAATATAGGTACCTAAAAACCAAATAAGACCATAACTGCTGCGCGCAGCTGGGATGAGCACCAGAGGTCTTTGTAACATGGGCGATAGAATTTCTCATACACCGGGTGACATAATGAAGTATTTCTCAAGATATGAATACTTATGAATTGGCACGTATGTACTTCACAGTCACTCGATGTATGATGCCACACGAGGCATAATCGATGCTCAATTGTTTAAGACGTTGGTAACTAAGGTAACCGAGAGGAATATGCGCAAATAAGACCGAAATTCGTGATTTCGCAGTTATGGTCTTATTTGGTTTTTAGTGTACATTTACTTGACTGAAATTCGTAATTTCAGTAGACGGTCAAGGGTTAATTGTTGAATCTACCGAGTTGAGACTACTTGAGATCATAGCATAGTTCAATGTACAAATTATCTATGGGCTATAAAATAATGCCGTGTGGCGGTAAAATGTGGATGGTTCGTCGTTGGACGGAATGGCCGAGCATGGCCGAGCGAGCCGAATGAGCGGGAGATCGCGTAAATGTGGTAGTAGTCGCCGGTGGCGCTTAATGCACGTTGGTATTGTCGCTAATGTGTCGGCCGCAAGAAGAAGATGAATAGGGAAGCTGGTGGTAGCGCGGATCCGTCGCGCGATTGTTGGTTCGGGCGCATCAATCAGTGGTCGGTGCAATCTGTCGTGAGCGCAAACCTTTAAGGTGATTCTCGCTTGTCAGCGCATCTGTCGGCTCTGTAGGCCGCGAAATGTAGGACGGGACACGTACGTACGTTGGTTCCGTGGCGATTTGTCCTGTTCCGAGCGCGCGTTTCTAATAGCCACGGCTTTACGCCTCGTCCTGTTTCGATGCAACGTTCATGATTGAGCCCCCAGTGAAAAAACTCGCCGCATTTACACCGTTTCCACGAACGGCGCTGTTGGAACTATTCGACGCGCACTCGAGCGACCAGTTTACCACGGTCAAAGAATTTCTCATGGTGCCTCCGAGTCGCGTTCGTTTTGGGGATTCGCGCTCTGCTCTTTCCGACTGGTACTCGTGGCATTTCGAAAGAATACGGTTTCCTTCAATCGTATACATATTCCGTTGTGGTCAGTTTATTATCGGATGTTATACAATGGCGTGAAACATTTTTTTAGTAGATATTATAGGAAAGGTAAATTGATATTTCGATTGGTTTAAGGGTACACCCGCGAGCAAACTCGGCTTCCACTAGGGGGAAAAAGTGGCGTAAGAGAAAGGCCTCCTACCACTTGGTATTTGGAGGTACTGAAATGTATGCCAAATTAACATTCGATTTAACATTTATTTCACTACCTGGAATAAATTTACCAAATGGTAGGAGACCCTTTCCCTGCGTTATTTTTTACCCTAGTGGAAGCCGAGTTTGCTCGTGAGTGTACATTCTAGTGTAAGCGTTGTAAAAAAACGGTGCTTATTACAATTTTTGTAAAAGAGAACTATAATACATAGAGTACACAATCAGTCTAGGGTTTATTAACACAAGAATTACCGATGGCAAATGTACATCTACTTCGATCGGTCGATAAACATGACGAACATTTGAAAATACACAAATTTTTAATTTGCACTAATTCCTTCATATCGTAATTAAAATTGCAAAAGGTCTGAGAAAATGTATTGTCATAACTAGACAGCGGATTTCAATGTAAAATTACATTTTCTAAAGTAATTTATAAAGAGAGGAGCAAATATAAAAATTTATTTTTTCTCTTAAGTATCTTATTGGGTTCAGACAAAAATAGAAAATCATTGGATCCGATGATAGTTTTGCCTTTTATTCTTTTTCACAGATCCCTGTAGGCTGTAAATGCATAAAATCCGCAGTCTAGTCATAACATTTTGATTATCCGGATTACTGGGGAGCAGTCACTCCCTTAAATCTCCGTTGCTGCAGACATTCGCGACAGATCACTTCTCAGAGTTTCACGGAAAGGGAAGGTCATTGTACCCCAGCGTTATTTAGTTGTTGCGATGATTTGTGACAGATGCAACATCGAGATCTACCACCAGCAGCTAGTCGTTCTATTTAGGATTATAGAGCCATTGAGTGCATTCATTTCGTTTCGTTCGTGTTATTCAATGCGTTCAAATTTGTTGAAGATGTTTACATTAGAACAAGTGGAAAGATGGCGATTCTATACGAAACAATAAATAAAAAGTATAAAATAAAATTATTTCATAATCGCTTCATTTTCGAGACACTCGAGCGTGAATATATCCTCTAGTAGCTAAGTCTCCTAAACTGTTTGATTAAGCATGTTTTGGTTAAGTATGTCGACATCTGATAAAACATCAAAATCAAAATGAAATTTATCATAGTAAAATGTATGTATAGTATATTACACTGAAATATTATTATTACTAAACTGTGGACATTTACCTACGTGATTTCACATTTTCACAGGCGAATTTACATAAACCAAAATTAAACAAAAATGTACTTACTTCTATCAATGAATTCACACCGTTTGAAGTAAAATAAAAACACTTATAAACAAACAGAAAGTTTTGTATTTTACTGTGTTCCTGGCATTTAATTATACTCTAAACGCATCAAATTCGGAGGTTTCTCTA